TACTTAGGCATATGATGCACTTTGAGTTAATTTTGTGAAAGATGTCGCCTTTTTTGGAAAAGACCGTCCTTTCTCCAGTAAAGCATAGTCTTTGCTCCTAAAAGCTAAATCTCTAAAAAGACAGACAAATATGCTACTTTAAGTCAGCAAAACCGAAAACAACCAAAAGGAATAAAGATTTCTTCTGAAAAAAAAAAAAAGCTTCCAAATAACGAAGGTGCTAGAAACTGGAGGGACAGCTTTGCCCCCTAAGCCAGGACCGAAATCTGCCCCCTGCTCCCTGCCACTGCGGCCCAGCCTCTCCTCGGCCCAGCGCTCCGTGATCCGGGGGAGGACCGAGCCGGCAGCCTGGGCGCACCTGAGAGCAGGAGGCTGAAGTGCTCCAGAAGGAGCTCAGGGGCTACGATGCCCTGAGGAGCCGGGAAACACAGAGGCGGCCAGCCCCAGCACGACGCCATCCACGCTGAGATTAGACACCGGTCCCCCAGCTCCATCGCGGTGACGCCATCCAATTACACCCTGGCAAGACAAGAGAGAAAGGGACAAAGGGTTGGAAACGCGATGCAAATCAGGCTGTCAGCAGCTGTTCTGGGTTCCTTGGGAAATGTCATTAGGAGCACAAGGCGGAGCTGGAGACTTTGCTACAGTCCGGACGCTGAACTTGATCTTTCAGAGACAAAAATCTCCTTTAAGATTCCAGCAATTCTGTGAGAACTTCAGCATCCCTACTGGGCTGAGGAGAACACGGAGGAGAAAGGAGTCGGGGGATAAAATGGAGAAGGGGAGGGAGCGGTGTGTCTCACGGAGCGTCAGCAGGGTGCCCAGACCCGCAGGACCCTGGCTGGGCCGTTCCAGCTGCGAGGCGGCAAGCTGGCTTGTCCGGGACAGCTGCTTGCAAGAGCGGGGCCACAACCCTCGTGCGTCTCCTAAGCCCCGTACAGCCGGACGCCGAGAACAGGGTGCCGGTGAAAGCCGCTTGGACACAGCCTTGGCCGCAGAGCACGCGAGGGTGGAGGGACCGCGGACGAGCGGCTTCCGCGCTGGCTGGGGCTCAGAGGCTGGGAAGGGCCTGGCTCATCCTGGATCTTAAAGCTGCCAAACCCCCTTCTAAAATGGGAAAGGTGTTCCCTGTTACTCCTTTGGGGACAGCTGGAAGTAGAAATAATGCCTAATCTATGGTGTCTATTAATACGTGGTAAGAAGGTTATATTGGATTCTCATCACTGAAGGCCATTGGATCTGACAAGAAGCCCAGAGAAAGAAGGCATTCTCGTAACTGGGACTTTCTTCCTTCTTTCCTTCCTTCCTTCCTTCCTTCCTTCCTTCCTTCCCGCCTTCCTGCCTTCCTTCCTTT